AAATGTAAAAAGACAATTACCAGTAATACTGGCCTTACTACATCCCTATTATTTACCTTGCAACCTTGAGCAGTTGTGCTGTTACAGCAGAATGTGGTTTCAAATGACAGTTATTTTATGGCAATTATGATATTCCAGTGTGCCAGTAAGACATTTGTCGTTTGTTTCTCTTTTAGTATTATATCGAAAAGGTGATTGCAGGGTATTCAGATCCTGGTGTGATGTGAAATGGCCCTGACCTTGGGCAATTAAGTAATATATGAGTGGTGTAAAATAGGCGGCGCTGTGAATACTCGTTACAATTGTAACGCGTTACAGGCTACTCGTTACGTTTGCAGTAATTTTGGCCTGTAATTAATTACATTTTTGAAAAGGAACGAATTATTGTAATTAATTACAAAATAAAGGAACGCGTTCCTTTTGCTTTAACGAATGAAAATTACAAATTCCTTTGATCAAATAATTTAAAAACGCTTTCAAAATCGCTTTGTTTTCCATTTTTGTTAAATCTAGAAAATTTTCAATAACTGATTCAAACTTCAAAGTGCCAGTGGAAGTTGTTCAATTGAACTCTAATACTTCATGTAGTGTATTCATATAGTGAAAAGCATTGCCGCCATGCTTGAACGACTGCGAAATGCTAATATGAACGGATTGAACGCTTGAACGTCGAATGCTAATATGGTAGACCAGTAGACAACGACTTTGTCGATTTATAGAATATAGAGCCAGCCGGGCCCAGTGAACCAGAGTCAGCTGTAAGTGGAGATGAATCAGAAGACCTTCAAGACCAAGAAGGCAGTCAATCTGCCGCTGTGCAGGATTTTAACGCGGGAAAAGAGGAATCTCCATGGCCCGAATTGAATACATTTTTTAGTGTTTGTTGTAAACGAAACAACAACCTCTCGTTCGAGTGCCTTTTGTGTAAACCGAAGAAAACCGTGCATTCCACATATATTACATCACACCCCAACCTTCCGTGCAGCATGCGAGCATCATTTTATCACTAGTGGTCTGATACTGAGGCCTCACCGAAACAGTCTTAATGACAAACATTTTGAAGCATGCCTCCTCTCAAAGCTTTTAAATAACTTAAAGTTTTTGAAATAAATTCAAAACATTATAATTGATGGGTGTATAACCGTTGATCGTTATCGTTTTTCTTCACTTTGCGAACACTGAACATTTATACAAAATTATGATGTGTAATTTGTAATTAATTACATTTTTAAATAGTAATTTTGTTACTGTAATTAATTACTTTCCTGAAGAAGTAATTGTGACCAGTAATTAATTACATTTTAAAGAAAGTAATTTTATTTGTAATTAATTCCTTTTTGGACGGTAATTTTGCAGCACTGAAAATAGGAAATTTGTTATTCATTCTGATTGACTAATAAAATTAGAATGGTGAGAATAATGATGATGATGATGGTACTGAAATACAAGTTGTGATGATATTGGTGATGCACAAGTTGTAATGATACTGCTGATAATGAAAATATATTGTATTTGTAATGAAACATAAATAACAAAGAGATTGGCAGTAATGAATGTGTATGACTTGATCAATTGTGCTGGTGAGAAGGCAATATATTGCCACCTAGATGAATTAAGTCCCATGCCATTTTGTGTTCAAAACTAACTGTTCTCATCAGCTCCTGCAAGCATAACTGGGAAAGCTGGTTTCAATCCTGTTAGCTGATCTTGAATCTATGTGCACACATATAAATATTTATTTTTTCCCCTCATGAATTATATTGTTTGCCCAAAAAATCGGTTGATTATTTCATCTAGAAACAGTGTGAATGTTGTTTGAATTTGGTATGTTCACTCTGTGACAAGTGATATGTAATTCATGCATAATATGGTGATTTTTGGTTTCAGGATGTAAATTTACTTACTGGTAAAATTCAGTGTAACCATATTCATTAAGCCTCTGCGTCTCTCTAAGCCCTACCTCCTCAATACAAATAAAACTCTGGATAGGACTAAATAGGTTTTTAATTTTACTGACAAAAGTATGATGCATCAAAACACCCAATTTTTTTAGACCAGCTGTGAATAATAATACTTCAATTAAATCCAAAAGAATTTTTATGGTAAAGAAGTAATTATAGTATTCTCAGTAAGTGGAATAATTGACCATCATTATGGAATTTATGTAGGCTGAAGTATTTAAAATGTTTAAGAATGTATAATTGTTGGTTTTTAACCAAAGCCAAAGATATTTGAAAACAAAGTATATGTCAGTCAGAGTCTCGGTGCTCAACTATCGGTGTATTATAATTATTTGTAAAAAGTGTTGGTAGTCACAATGGTGACAATAACATTTGTGTGGTTAATCTGGTTGAAGCAGAGAATTTAATTGATCTCCTGATAAAAGGCATGTTTTCTTGGGGTTGTAGCAAAGGTCTTTCATGAATTCTAAGACAGCCCAGTTGCCAATTGTATTGAACCAAAGCTATTAGACAGGGTACAATTACAGCTTTTTTTCAAGATATTACAGTATATACTATAAGATGCAACTGACAAATGAAGTATTTCAGAAAAAAATTTACCCTAAAATTATTAGTGACTTGTGCCGTGACTAATATTATGTTACAGCTTTGGTTCAAATTTCATAAATCATGAACCGATGTACAGTAACTGCAAATGTAAACAAATAGGTGAACGCACACCCAGTATACAGACTGTTATTTGCCTTTAAGACTCCTAAGTCACATATCACTGATATAAGATTCATAGTAAATTTATTGTTTCAAGATCACTGTATATTATTTCTCATGATTCAGGATTGGTACCCCCCCCCCCCTTCCAGACAAACAGAAATATAGATGATACATCCCAAAAAATAAATATGAAATTAACTCACACACACAAAGGTTTCAAGATACTGTGTATAATTTCATTCACAACTGTATTTTAAACTACATACGTACGGAACTTACCAACCTGTCACTCGATCAGTTAATTGTTTCAAAATATATTCTGCTTTGATAACTACATGTTTATTAAATACACATGAAGAATTTCGTTTCCATAGATATGATGTCCCCTCTGATTTATCTTTCCATAAAAGTACAATAAAATCCCAAGTGATATTCTTTGGTCAATACATAAAAATTACTTATAATCAACAATGTTTATTTAATTCTTTATAAAACGTCGCACACAAGCAACTGCATTGGATACAAAATAGACAGTTTAAAGACAGATCACTCGACTAGTTTTCTCTCAGTTTGATCTTCGATCTTTGATAAGTATTACCGTTAGCTATTCCACAATTTGTTGAAAGAAAGCTCGTAGAATGCATAGATAATATATACCCACTCTTAAATCTCACTAGGAAAGTTTTATTTATCATAATATAAAAACTCGAAAACGTCGCGCCTTCGCGCTGCAATGTTTGATAAAATCAATCGGCTCCGCTCCCCCCGGATTGAAAACTAAATTATTACGAAATGTCCAATATTTTTGGAGTCACATGTGTGACCAGTGTTTACCATTCCCGTACCAGAGCCTCTCAACCGCGCAAAGGCCCTGGGTACGAGGTTGCCAGTGGAGTGGAGTGGACAAACAAAGGTTTATAGTAATTAGTAACTGAACAAGGGCAAGGAACAAGGGTACCTGCAAGGTAGGGATCGCTGCGGGAATATTTGAGAGCAAATAGAACTATTACAAGTTAGTACAAATTACTGATAAAGCACAATTATTATGTATCGATCATTCGATCAATTCGAAACTTCAACATGTCCAACATGACCCCCGGGCCGACCCCGGGAATTTGAACTTTTTGAAATTTGACTGATCAAATTCTCCACCCCCTGTGCAAAAATGTCTTCAAATGACGATCCGCTCTACAGTTTCAGATTCAAGTTTCAGATTCAAATTCATATTCAGATTTGAATCTGAAACGGGGTCAATTGTCGCGTATAAAATGTGGAATTGCTCTGTCTCTTTTCACGGAATAAACGTAATTCGTCAAGGACATCCATCTTCAGACTATTGTGCATTTGACAAAACTATATTTTAGTTTTTAGCTCATAATGTGAAGCCAGGAAAAATCGCAGAAACTACACGACCAACGCGTGATTTCTTACTGCGCCATGTTTGTCTTAAGCTGTCGGCAAAATTATTTTTCGCTGTGTATCGCAAAATACGCGTGTAGTTCCCTAATTTCTGAGAGACATTCACTAGTACACTATAGTAAATTGTATAAAGAAAACTAGGTCTTAAAAACGTTAGTTGTTTTGTCAGGAAAAATCGCAAATCGTAGATCATGAGACACGGCTTTTGTAACCTGAAGCGAATGTCGACAACGCAGCTGAGAGAATAAACACTTCTCACGCGTCGCACGCTTAGTTTGGAATATTCGTCTGCGTAAACTGGCTTAGGAAAACACATCCACTTGATGAAAACACAATTGTTGAAATCATTATTCGTGTTAGTAATGTTCCAGACGATGCCTCTAATGCTGATGCTACCGATAACCCGCCGTTATTTTCAATTACAATATCGGCGATTGAGAGAAAGGTTGAAATCTCCCAGAAGTATACTCTTGTATAGAAAAATACGGAGTTTCCTGAACTAAAAAGTCTAGTAGATAGGCTTCAAGTTAATAACGAACTAGATGCTGATACGATTAGAGATGACTATGCTGATATTTTCCAAGAGTCAGAAGATGCCGAAAGTTTAAATTTATCATCGCTGGATCTTTCGGAAATCTTGTGGGACGTTTCACTTTTGTCCACCAACGAGAATACGACAAAGAGTGATCAACCAAAGGATAAATCTATTAAAGTCAAATCCAAAGTTAAAGGGTCAAATAAAGTACGTGTTAAACTATTATCAAGCCCAGTTTGTAAAAAGAAGAATACATCGAAGACAAAGGTGCCGACAACACCATCAGCAAAGGTCGCTAAACAACAAATCATTAACATAAATAATATACAACAATGTGCGCAAATGTGTCAAATCTCGAAAAAGTTGTTGCACGTATCGATAAGGAGGCGGTGAACTTCGACGCCAAATTAAGTGCTCTTAGTTTGGCAAATAGAGTCCAAAATGAAATGTCAATTCTGAGGAAAGCTTTTGACGAAAAAGTTTTGCAATACGGTGAACGTACTAATAAAGCCGAATTGGAAGTCAAAAAATTGCAAGGACGCCTTGGATCCCTGGTTGAAGAGAAGAATCAATTATCCAAAAAAATCCGAAGTTTGGAAAAGTCAAATAAATCATTATCAGACCAAGTCGAAGAACTACAAAATAATACAGAAGATGATGCAGTCCAGAGAGAATCGGGACGTGTCGTTCAGAACGAGCTAAGCGCCAATGTAACGGACAGAAATAAACCCGAAGTCCTAATAACTAAAGAAGAAAGTGGTCCCATACCAACTAAAAAAGCCGATCCTTCATAAAGCGGTGATTCCAACGAGCAAACTGTTGAGAACCAAGGAGAAAAAAAGATGATTGATCAAGGAAGCCCGGAAGAGTACGATTTTGTCTTTCTATGTGATTCCAACAGAAAATTCATCAACACACAGCTGTTATGTCCTAACAGAACGGTAAAAATCATCCCTTGTGGTACTTGCAGTCAAGCAATTAAAATTATGTCTTCACCACGTTTCCAGGTAAACGAAGCGCTTATAATAAATACAGGTGTTAATGATGTTGAGCACTTAACGTTAGATGAGGTTATTCAGAAGCAGTTAGAGATGGTAGATACAGCTAGGAAGGCATTTCCGGGAAAAAAGATCATTGTTTCGAGTGTTACTCCACGAGATGACGATTTCGATGAAGACATTCGGGCAATAAACCGAGCAATCCAAAGCGAAATTTTAAATTTCAACGATGTCATTTACGCGAACAATGATAACCTACGAGACAGAGCCCTGTATTTTGACCGTAAGCACTTAAATAGAAATCGGGGTGTTCGTAAGTTTGCAGCGAACATAAAAAAGCAATTAGAATGGCAAGCGGCGTTGTGGAGAACAAGCCACGCTACCCATCCTATCATAGTGGTGATCCGCTTCCGATCCGACCTGACGATCGTGCTCCATACCCTCACCCTCGTTATTCATCCTACCACAGTGATGATCCGCATCCGATCCGACCCGAGGATCGTGCTCCATATCCTCAACACCGTTATGGAAGCTCCGTAAATCCCCTACTAAGACCAGAAGATATGCGGAGAAAACAGGATGGTATTGCTACACAACCTATCGAAGTCAGCAAAGAACACGAAACACAGAAGGAAATGGAATCAATGATGTCTTTTCCCAGCTAAGTACATTAAATAAACTAGTTAATGTTTTAGTGTCAAGTAACTTGCAGCGATGTAGAATGATGTATCCGCAGTCTACAGCTTCTCCATCTTTTTTTCCACTATATAGTTCGGCTGTTAGTCAGCCTTCCATACCTTAGTTCTGAAGGTGTTGCAAGTACATATACATCTTTGGTTATTGTAAGAATTAGTTAATGCAGTTAAAAAAAACTTTTAAAATTTTGTTCCTGGAATATTGAAGGACTTTTGGGAAAACTGGATGATGAGGAGTTTCTAACAACAATCAATTCTTTCGATTGCATTACTCTTGTTGAGAATTGGCTAAAAAATGATAGTACAGTAAATATACAAGGTTTTTCTTCTTTTTGAAAGTGTAGGCAAAAACATGATAGAGCTTGGAGGAACTCGGGTGGTATAACTGTGTTGGTGAGATCAGAGTTGAGAAAAAGGATCAGATTTTTTTATAAAGAAAGTAATGAACAGTTTATTTGG